TATTAACATTTCTGGTATTTTTCCTCTTTTCTGTGGATCCCAGTTTATCTCCGATGCCATTTTCTTTCGACCTGGAGGATTATATATAGCATTTCCGTAGTGCAGGTTTGCTGGCAGACAACCTCTCCTCTTAGTTTTTGCCTATTGAGAAGGTTCTTGGCCAGCCCTGGCGCTCGAAGGACGCTTTTGCTGGCTGCGGGATTCTGAGTTGGTGAGGTTTGTTTGTTCCTCCACCACTTTGTCTCCTTGAGCAGTGCAATCCTATTCCCACTTCTTGCCTCCTCTGGTCCCTGGGTAATGTCTCACCCAGTCCTTCACATCCCAGGCTCATTATCGGCCTCGATTTCACTTCCCACTTCCCAGAAAACCCCGCTGCTCATGCTCTGCGAATCACTCTCTTCCCACTGGGTCTCTCTCGCGGGCCTGTTTCCTTTCCCAACCTTTGTGACGTCTTGTATTTGTTTATTTGTTCCCCCGATGAGCTCCACAAGCAAATGTACTCTGTCTCATTCTCTCCGGTGTTGCTGGCAATCAGCATTGAGACCTGGCGCCGCAATAAGAGCTCAGTGATGTTCCTCTCATGTAGCATGGATGCCGCGGAAGTCACAGGGACATCCAGCTTTGCTAGACTTGAAAAGACACATTGAGCAGTCGCACGCTGCGAACTCACCGGGACCATCTGTTTTACAAATGCTGCGCTGGGAAACATAAACACGAAAGTGATGCATCTTCAAGACGCGCGTCCAGATCCTGGGGGCTGGAGACCCTCTTCTCCAGCTCTCCGTGTTTGCTTCCTGCAGCACCGTGGGGGCTTTTCACGGCCTGCTTTGCACTGCTGCCACGTGGGGGACGCCCTCCCTCTGCAGCTGCACTGCCTGCCAGCGTCTTGCCAGCAGGGACACAGTTCCCTTCCACAGATGGGGCAGCTGAGTAGAAGTAACCTTCAGGTTTGCAAAGGTTTGAGGTTGTGCTTAACATGGCATTGTGCTGAAAAGGAATCAGAGAGTTAGCATTTCTGGTTTCATAATAAAATTCTCTGGTTGTCTTAAGGGGAAAGGGGCCATGTAATTCCAAAGTAATTAGGATTTCAACTGAGTACTAAGGAGGCACCAAGTTCCCACCAAGGACACTGTGTCTTGTGTGTGGGAGGCCTGCCCTGCCCCTTCTCTGCCTTTGTTCTTGTTTATATGCACTGCCTTCCCAGTTTATGAGCCCTGTAGTTTGCATCGCAATAAAGTGCCAAATATCCCCTGCCCACGCGTCTCTGGCTGCCGAATGGAAAGCAGCAGATCAGAATTTTTTTTTTAGATTTGTTGGTGTTCTTAAAAAAATTGCCTATTCTTGCACATAAATATTTCTGCCTATTGCCAGGCTGACCTCCGTTTATTAGGACGCGACTGTTGATTAGGCTGTGGTCTGCAGAGGTCCATAGAAATGGTGCTCAGCATTTATTACGGAGAGATTGCTCGAGACCCTGGAGGGAGTAAAGCCGGGAGCTGGTTTTCCTGTTCTGAACTCATGCATGAAAGAAGAGGATGCTTCAGCTCTGGAAGAACAGTCAGACAGCTTCCACGCTGGCTGGGCTGACTGGAGCCTCTGGGGTGGGGGATCTCAGCCATCTTTCTGAACCACACACACCTGCACAGCTCTTCTTTACGGAGTGGTTTTTTCTCTTTTAATGTCAAGATGCAGTACTGTTCCGGCAAATTCGAGTTCCTGAAAGGAGTATGAGTCAATGGGATGGTGGTGTTTGCTTTTGATGGGGGTGTTGGTGGAGGTTGGAGCTATGATCTGCAAGTTCTTGTATGTTTGCAGGTCTCATGCCAAGCTTCCGTTATAGAATCAGGATCTCTGCAAGAAGTGTCTGGGGATGAGAATGTTAGTTGATTGCTGGAGGCTGCATCCACATTCTCAAGCTTGCTCGGGAAATGGAGACTCAACAGTTGTCTGTTTCGTCATGAAACCTGCTGTGCCTAGAACATTTTGGGTCCCTCAAATTGCTTCCTAAGAAGATATTTGTATCTTCACTTTTTTTTTTTTGCCAGAATTTTATTCACTCTTGATTGAACAGTTAGGTCAAGTCAGTGTCATTTTTTTAAATTTAAATTTTACTTATCTGAGAGGAAGAGATAGAGATAGAAATAGAGATATAGAGATAGAGAGAGAGAGAGAGTGCGCGAGAGCGAGCTCCTATCTCATTCATTGCAGAAACGCCTGTAACAGCTGCACTGGGCCAGGATAAAGCTGCAAACTGAGAACTCAGTTCAGGTCTTCCACGTGGGTGACAAGGAACCCAATCACGAGAACCATTATCTCTGCCGCCAAGGGTCTGCATTTAGCAGGAAGCTGGGATTGGAGCAGGTTTGGGAATCAAATCCAGGCACACCAGTGTGGGACTAGTACAGTGAAAACAAAAGAAAAACAAAAGAACAAACAAAAAAGTAAGCCAGTTCTCTTTAGTGGCCAACCCGGGATATTTTCATAGGATGTTTCAAATAAGGTTTTCTGAACTGTGCATGGGGCCATAGGAATGCAGCCGCCAGGAAGTTCTCGTGGTCAGTATTGCAGACATGAGAGCAACTCTGATGGCACTGGGACACTCAGCAGGCAGGAGTCACTGCATTTGATGTGATGAGAAAGTGACCCTACTTTTCTCCTCCATAGTCTATTCCTCTTGTCCTAGTAGGGTTAACCCTTCCCTTCCTCGTGAACAAGAATCAGGGTAGGTTTCATGAATTTTTACTTATTTTCTGTATTAAAGAGTCCTTTACTCATTCATAAATACGTAATCATCTCCAGTTTCTAGATAGACCCAGAATAGAACAATACTTTCAAAATATCTCCACATTCAGCTCCGCTTGGGGCTGCCGACTTGTCACAGGCAGTGAGAGCGTGGCAAGATGCCTTCATTGTCTCTGCTGGAGCGTCTACTTTCCTTCCTCTATCTCAGGAAGTTGCCTCTGGTTCTGCCAGGGCTGAGGGCTGAAAGGTGAGAGAAATGAAAGTTGTCATGATACGTGCTATACCACACTAGTATAGACACTGTTGGACTTGGCAGGAGTTGCGAACCTATTCTTCCCACGAGGTGCCTTCCTGGATTTTAGGGACTCTGTGGTCGCTGTGAGCATCTAGATACCCAGCTACAAACTTCCATGCTCTTTCTGCAGCCTTCCTGAGAGGTATCTGAGACATCACCAAATCAGTTCCTCTCACACAACAGCGAACGTGGGAAACTTCACGTGTCTCTCTCGTTCTGGCAGGCTCTGAGCCCAGGCCATGCATGCCCAACCCTGCCACCTCCTGCACTTGCCCAGCAGAAGGGCTAGCGTTCCCTTTGGATCCTGCAGGTGGCGTCAGGGGTCAGCAGGCTCTTCCCAAGTGCTCCGTTCCCTTTGGATCCTGCAGGTGGCGTCAGGGGTCAGCAGGCTCCTTAGGTGCTCTGGGAGTTCCATGGGGACATTTTCCACAGGTTTAGAGTGAAGGAGCACTCTACTCTCTCACATGGTGGAGCAGAAGTGGTGCTAACAATACAATAAGACTGTAAGAAAGCTTCTACCTACTTTTTCCTCTCTTTTCTGGTCTCATTTTTAGATTGGCAGTTGAGGGTTGGACTTTTGTTCTTGGTGAGTTCTGTTGGCGTGTGGATGTCACTGTCATCCATGTCTCAGGATTGTATCCCATCCCTTCAGCTGGAGCAGAGACAGAAAGGGTTCCATTGTAACTCCTACTGATCACTCCATCACTTGTCCTATGACGAGTACTCTTATACTTGCCATGTCTCCATTAATCCTCTTGATACAATAAGACACAAAAATCTAGAGAAGTCAAACTATTTGAATAAACTTAACCCAGGTAGCAAATTGCAAAGCTCATCCAATGCTGCATTATTTTGTTTTTAGGAAAAGAGAGACTGACTCTGTTCCTAAGCAGTAAAACATTCCGCATTCATCAGAGAGAAGTGCTACAGTTGCTTAATGTCTTAGCTTTTACAATGGTAAAGCATAGAGTCTTGTGACAAAACTATCAACAGCAGCTCTCACTTGCTAGGCATTTTAAGTGTCTTAGTTAGTTCTTAAAGCAACACTGGGATATGGTTGGCCTTGCTGTCATCTTGTTGATGAGGATCCTAAGGCCTGGAAGGCTGGACCTCCCCTGGATCTCACAGTCAGGATGACTGGAGTCAGGATACTAACCCAAAGTTCTGGGTCATGACTGATTCACCCATGGCTGAGCTCTGATGGGGTCTCTGGGCTGGGCAGGGCAGATGTTTTAATTTATTTTGTTAAAGCTACTTTCTAACACAAGCTTGGCTCCAGAAGAGGCAATAATGTGAAACAGCAAAGATTTTGCTCAACTCCTTGAAAGCAATGAGTACCTTCCTCATCTTGTAATCCCCAATGTCTGACTCAAAGTTGATTCTGTGTTAATGAATTAATTAGAGAGATGAACAAATGAACAAGCGGATTTTCTTTAAATGCTATGGTGGAAAGTAAAACTTCATCTACAGCAGATTGATGTGTTATCCCTCTCCTGGGAGGGATTCTCTAAGATGATTCTGGAAGGGGAGCCTAAATGAATGATGTCTCAAGTTGAAGTTCCAATTCTGCCTTTGGAATAAAAGTTGGAAAAGGAATTGCAAGAGCTTTTCTCTGGAGTTTCAATTCATGACAGCATTCTATGTCTACATGCCTTAGGAGGAAAAGAAGTAGAGTTCTTCATTGCTTAAATGATAAAATGTCCAGAAGCATTTTATCTCGTTCCAGAGAAGTATGTTTTAATGATTGCAGCCCTCCAGAAAGGAGTAGGTGGCTTCCGACATGTTCAGATTCACTTCTGCTGAGACCTGTTCCAGCGAGCTCTGGAGGAAGGGGTGGAAGTGGCGCTGGTGGGGTGGACCAGAAGTCCCTCGGATTCTGTGTCCCTGAGCTTTTGGAGACCGGGACCTCAGGTGGGCATTTGTGGATGGACTCCAGCTAACCAGGTGTGTCTGTTGTCCACAGGTCTGAGGCGCAACTACAGATGTACCATCTGCAGTGTCTCTCTAAACTCCATAGAGCAGTACCATGCCCATCTGAAGGGGTCGAAGCATCAGACCAAGTAGGTACCCGCGTGTGCTCTCCCCCCTCTGCCCTTTCCCACGCAGCGCTTGGCAACACAACGGCGAGTTAAACATTTTCTTTGTTTCCCAATAAGCAGATGGAAATGACAGTTCTTCATCTGCAGAGTGCCTTTGATGTTTATGCTCCCCTGGATTCCATGGACAGTGGCTTCCCCCTTTGTGGGGACAAGCACTAGAAGTTTGCTGGTTGCTTTTTGCATTTTTCTCAAGGAAAGTTCAGCATAGTTTTATGAACTTGAGGAAGCTTTTAGATCTATCCTGTTTTTAAATAAACAGCATGAACCCTATTTATAAGATGTGCCAGATCATGGTGTTGCAAAGTCAAGTTCAATGAATGCCTTCTACCACTTTCCCTTTTGGAAATGAATATTATGATTATTATAGAAACTTAACAAATGCCCTGGTACATTAAGCTCATTCTATTTTTTTCCCCAAAGCTTTTCAAACAAAAATGAAAATAACTCAATGATTCTCATGATTTTAAATTGGGAAAGGTTAACCAGGCATGATTTCATCTATATTTATACTATACATCTCTTTAAAAAATCACTGACATTAGCTTTATGGGCATGTTAGAAGCAGCTGCTATGACTGTTAATAAAATGCTAATAAAATAAGAAAAGAAGCTAAGAATGTCTCAAAAAGAAGTAATTTTCCTGAGCATAATTGTTTTCATTTCTCTAATATTCATTAGAAGAATCATTTAACAGATTTAACTGCACCAAGTCCTCGTGAATAATGGATGACTTCATTCAACAAGCATTTCTCGAGCACCCACTATGTGTCAGACTGGGAGATGGATGGACCTGGTCCTTCCTCGGGGCTGGGAAACAGCCACGCAAACATACGACTTGTTCCCGAGAACCCAGGGTGCATCCAGGGGTGCGCAGGCCAGCGCCGCAGGGAGCCTGGTGCGGAGGCGGCCCCGTGAGGGTGAGGAGGAGATCTCGCTCTGAGCACGCTGACATGGCACTTGGTGCACAGTAGGGGCTTCATCGGCAGTTTAGATGGATTGAATGCGTGGTCTCAGAAGAAGAGGCGCCGTTTGCCAGGCAAGGACTTGAGGACGGGCATTCCAGGCCCGGAAGGGGTTGTGAAAAGAGGTTGTTTCGTGGAGGTCTCGGGACAGCTGACCCGGGTGAGAAAACTTAAACCAGGAGGCAGTTCCTCACTCGCAGCTTCCCCCTGGGTGTTGTGCTGTTTTAGTGGTCAACGCCAATTTCCCAGCATGCTTTACTCTGCCACGGAGGACTTTCGTCCAAGTAATTCTGCAAAAAGAAGATTTCCCCTGCAGGTTGTTTGATTTGGTGTTTACTGCATGCTTTCCTGCCAAATGCTTCCAGCGTCTCTGGGATGAGCACTTCGTAAGAGGTGCCGTGAAATGCATCTGTGTCTGGCCTGCAGACACACAAATACGTGCAACAGCAAGGGGCAATCTTTGGAGAACATATTTTCATTGCTGTTAATAAGCAGGAAAAGGCAGACGGCAACTCTGAGTGGCGTGAATTCTGTAGATAACACCAATAGAACATCCACCTTCAGGAAACTGTATCTCTGCCTCTCTGTGTAGCCTCTCGTTTGTCTAGCTTTGCTCATTTTATGAATTTAAAGCTATATTGGTAGATGCTTACATATTTAGGATGTCTTATTTATTTTGATGGAATTGGCCCTTTTTTGCTCATTAGAAATCTTCTTCTTTGTCCCTAAGAATAGCTCTTTCCTTCAAATATGCTCATTCTGATAGAGCTACACTCTCCTTACCTCTTCAAAATATTTCAAACGCTTTTCGATTTAAACTCAATCATACCCAGGTTTTATTTTGTTCTTGGTTGCAGGGTAAGTCTGGTGCCAGTTACAGCTAGAAAGGGAAGTCCCTAGGATGTGGGTGGCCTTGTCTCCATCTTACAGTTCTCCATCTTGCAATTAACCATCCTAATCTGATTGATTAGGTGAATATTAGTATTTAGGTGTTAGGCACGGTCTAGGTCTTAGATTTGTGTTTTTAGCACCAGCACCTAAAGAAGTGTTGACATGAGTAAAGTTAGTTAACATGTGCAGTGGGAAGGGCCCTGCATTTTGGGTCAGAAGACTTTCTTCCTAGCCCAGCTTCATGGTAGCAACCCTGGACACCGACACCTCTTTCAGCCTCTGTTTCCTAAGTGACCAGTGATGCCCAGAGGTGACCAGTGCACCTCTGTGGTCCATGCCTTTCTCCTGCTCCTCACCCCCTATTCTGCGCATCCCAGAGTTAGTCTCAGCATTCTTCTCTAAACCAGACCCCGGCAGCCTGGATCATTTCAGGGGAGCTGGCCCTCAGTGTGGACAGTGGGTTGAAGAATGTCTCCTCCTGTCTTGTCTACACACAACCTCAGAAAATGTGCCCTGTGGTATAACTAGGCTCTTTGTATGGGAGATCATCCTGGATCTAAGGCAGGTTTTCAAGTCCAAAGCCCAGTGTCCTACTTAAGAGAAAGGACGGGGAGATCTGGCTACACTGAAAAGGCCTGCCAGAGGTGGGGGCTATGTTTCTAGAAGACCAGGAGCACTGGAAGCCACCAGGACCTGGGCGAGTTGAGGGAGAAGTCTCCCCAGAGCCTTCAGAAAGAGAACGAATCTGCTGACACCTTGATTCCACACTTCTGGTCTCCCAAAATCTTGATTTTTTTGTTTCTCTCCAAGACAATAAGTTTCTGCTGTTTTTAAGTCCAATCTCCCATCAGCCACATTTCAGTAGGCAGCTACTGGCTCTGCGTCTCCTGGCGATGTTGCTGATGCTGATGGCGAAGTTGTCACCGTGGGTGCTTGGTGTGGGACTCGTGTGTGTGTGTGAAGAAAAGCAATATATGGAAATGCTTCCTGGATGTTTGCTGAAGCGCTCAGCATCCCTGCAGCCCAGCCGATGTCCTCATCTCCATCTGACCCCTTAGAAGATTGAGTCTTGGATAGGTCAGTTGACTTACTTCTCCAAGGCCTCTAGGGGGCAGAATTCCGGCTCGCTGCCATCACCAGGAGGACCATTTGACCATTGCAGTAACACACAGTACAGCTGTGATCAGCTCACTCTTTCCCAGCCCTGACACAGATACAGGCTTTTTCTTTTTTTTGGCGAAGGTCATAAACAGCCTAACGGCAGTCACATTTCTCTCCATTGTTAAATAGCAAGAGAAATATTAACTATGCAATGAAATTAGAGTTTTGGAAATGCAAATGCTAACATGGACATATAAAGCAATTGCCTCTTAGGTTTCTCAGGGCTTCCAAGGGATCTAGTCCGTCAATTAGTGCAAATGATTAAAATGAAATTCCAGAGCACATGAGCACACACCACAGCCGAATGAACAATCTCTCCTTAGTGTCTTTAAATTTGAGCTCAGGGAACACTCGGGCCTCAGGATGTTCTATTACCTGGAAGTGGAGGATATGAAAGTGCTCATTACTTACTCTGGTGCTTGGTTGAAAATGAGATGTGAATGTCCCAAAGGATAAATCAAAATGATCGTGAATCAGTAGCATTTTTTTAAGCAGGATCGTTATCTGTCAATATAAATTGTCTTTCTGATCATCTGTATTTTAAAACATTTTATTTATTTGAAAGCAGAGTTAAGGGGAGAGAGGGAGAGAGAGGGAGAGAGAGAGAGAATGGTCTTTATGTGGGTGCAGGCGCCCAAGCACTTGCTTTCCCAGGCACATTAGCAGGGAGCTGGATTACAAGTGGAGCATCTGGGACTCGAACCAGTGCCCGTATGGAATGCCAGTGTCGAAGGCAGTGGTTTTAACCACAATGCTGAAACACCAGCCCTTCCTTTCTCCCACCAGTAGCATTTTCTAAGTTTGCTTTTTCCTTGAAAATAGCTTGACTTGGTCATCTGCATTGCTTCTGCAAGTTCCTTTAACTGCTGTGACTTGTTGGGACGAAGGCCTCCTGTGATTCACGTCCCTATTAGGTTCATTTATTTGTGAGGTACTGGAGTAGAAATCCAGGCCAGTGTGCAGGTCTGGGCTGTATTTCCAGAGCTTTGGAACCGAGTTCCTGCATGTAGGTAGCAGCACATTCTCTGAGGGCTGCACCGTAATAAATAAAGGAGGAGCTCGGTGACTTGAGCCATCATTGCTGCCTCCCAGCGTCTGCACCGACAGGGAGCTGGAATCAGGAGCGGATGCCCCAGGTAGATCCGACGTAGTCCAATGTGGGATGCGGCCAGCTCAACCCATGTCCTAACCACAGGACAGACCCTGCCCCCACAGCGTGGTCCTCTACCTGTCCTATTTGGGATCTGCCATCAGCTCTTCTCCTAGAACGGGAGGCTTGTGGGGGGCCCTGGGTCTTCTAGCCATGCATATATAAGGTGCCTGCTACTGCCGCAGGTTTGCGGCTGTGCAGAGCCTTGTAGGACAAAGGGCGTTTTCTATCTCGTCCTCTCTTCAATGGCGCATTCAAGTCTGCAAGTGTCTCGAAGCCTCCCTTCTACGAGGAAGGCCTGAGATGAAACAGGGTCCACATCTCTGGTGAAAGCAAGCAGCAGACCTTGCAGAGAGAATGCCGGAGCTGCAAAATTAAAGAAAGCACCTGTGTGTGTGTGTGTGTGTGTGTGTGTGTGTGTATGGCACTAATACAGATGCAATTTCGGCTCTATTTTTCCTAAATTTCGCTCGCATGCTTTTGCTATAGAAGCCATAACTAGGGATACATTATAATTACAGAACGAGTCTAAATCAGGCCTTTTGCGGCCTTGCAAAGAACTGAGTGGGGAGCACTTTCACTTTTTTCATATTCTAGAATCACCGATGACAACTAACATTCTTCAGCGCACTCATTCCCTCCCCCTCCCAGCTTACGGGACTTGTACTCATTATTTCCCCATGCTTGCAATTTGCATGACTCACGGCTGCCTGCACGGCTCTGAGCTGATGATTTAGTGCCTTGGATTGGACTGTGGATCTCGTTGAACCCTCCTGAGTTCTTTGTTGCGCTGTTTCA